ATAATTCAAAAAGTAACATGAGGAATTGCTATATTTGTAGAAAACTAGGTCATTTTGCTAAAAATTGCTACAAGGCCAAGAAAGGAGATAGGGAGAATGCAAACAATGCTAGTGATAGTTTTGGTGGAGATGAGTATGCTTTCATGGCAAAAGAAGGAGCCTCCATGGCTGCCATGTCAAAGTGGAATATAGATTCAGATGCTACTAAGCACATGACACCATACAAGTGTTCATTTGATACTTATGAAGAAATTCCAGCAACAAAAGTGTGGTTGGGAGACAATGGCATGGTACAAGCCATTGGAATTGGCTCCATTGTAGTGGAGATTGTTGTGAAGGACCAAATAAAGAGGATCAGATTGAAAGAAGTCCTACATGTGCCAAAAATGAAGCAGAACCTTCTTTTGGTGAGCAAACTTGTATCACATGGTTGTAAGGTTCAATTTGACATGAATGGATATTTTGTCAAGACATTCAATGGCCAACATGTTGCCAAAGGCCTTAGAGATGGAAATCTCTACTTCATCAATTATAAAAAGGTGAATGGAATTGCAGTGGCAGCATTTGCTGATTTTCCACAAAATCAAGACAAGTTTAGAATTTGGCATCAATGACTTGGTCATTTGAATGCCAAATGTATGAAGGAGCTCCAATCCATGGTAAGTAGCTTGGATCTTCGTCAATTCAGCCACAATGCCATGACACTTGTTTGTGAAGGATGTATACAAGGCAAACAACAAAGGACTTCATTTCCAAGTGGAGTTGCAATACGTGCAACAAAATTGTCAGAGATTGTGCACTCAGATGTTTGTAGACCAATGAAGACACCATTAATTGGAGGAGCAAGGTACTTTGTTACATTCATTGATGATTTCTCAAGAAAGGTGTGGACTTACATCATTAAAGCTAAGAGTGAATGTTTCTCAAAGTTTAAGGAATTTAAGGCTCTTATAGAGAAACAATGTGAGTGCAAGATCAAAGTGTTGAGAACGGACAATGGAGGTGAATACATGTCAAAGCATCTTGATGACTTCATGAAGATTGAAGGTATTGCAAGACAAACCTCAACTCCTTATACTCCATAAAAAAATGGAGTTGCTAAAAGAGTAAATCATATCATTGTGGAGATGGTAAGGAGTATGCTTTATACACAAAACCTTGGACATGAGTATTGGGTGGAAGCTGTGATAAATACGGTGTACACAAGGAATAGGTGCCCTATAAGTGCATTTACATCAATGATTCCACAAGAAGCTTGGAGTGGAAAGAAACCTTGTCTTTTACACATGAGGATTTTTGGAGGTATTGCTTATGCAAAGGTACCAGATTGTATGATGTCCAAACTTGATGCAAAAGGTACAAAATGTGTATTTGTTGGATATTGTGAAGGTACTAAAGGATATAGGCTAATGTGTTTAGAAACCAAGAAGATCATCAAAAGTCATGATGTAGAATTTTTGGAGCATAAGAGTGCTTTTGAGCACTTAGAAGAGTGTCGAAGTGGGAGTAAAGGTGTGTTTGTGGACACATCTTCAAGTTCAGCAAAGAAAGAAGAAGAAGAAGAAGATGATGATGACAATGAAGATGGAGGAAATAGAAGTCAAGATCAAGTGCCAAAGAAGGTAAATCATAGTGTACCTTCAATTGCTAGAACCAACAATGAAGACAATGAAGATATTGAAGGTGATGATGATGATGAAGAATATCAACCTTTGAGTGAGAAAAGACAAGCATTGAGGAAGAAGAAGGATGGAATACAAGAAGAAGGGTCTTCTTCAAATAAAAGGAGATATCCTTTGAGAGAAAGAAAATCACGTGGCGAATGGTGGAAGGACCACATCTTTTCTCAAGTAAGTGAAGAACATGCCAATATTGCACTTTTTGCTGATCCGTTGAGTTTATGTGATGCAATGAAGTCCACAGATGCTATAAAGTGGATGAATGCTATGGAAGAAGAATACAAATCACTCATGGACAATGGAACATGGGAATTGACTCAACTTCTACCAAATCGATCTTCAATTGGTTGTAAGTGGGTATTTAGAACCAAAAGGGATGCAATGGGTAATATTGTGAGATACAAGTCTAGATTGGTTGCCAAAATCTGCTCACAAGTTGTTGGTATAGATTTCAATGAGACATTTGCTCTCGTGGCCAAATTCACCACTATTAGAACCATTGTGGCAATTGGGGCAATAATGGATTTGGAGATGCATCAAATGGATGTGAAGACAGCTTTCTTGAATGGAAGTTTGAAAGAAGACATCTACATAGATCAACCTCAAGGATTTGTTGAAGAAGAAAAACATCACCTTATTTGTAAGTTGAAGAAATCCTTGTATGGGCTAAAGCAATCACTAAAGGCATGGTACCAACGCATTGATACATTGTTTATGAGTGAAGGATTTGTAAGGAGTGAGGATGATCATTCCTTATATGTGATGCAATCAAATGAGTTCATATTGATTGTCATCTTCTATGTTGATGATTTGATCATCTTAACCAATACATTGAAGATGATGGATTGGTTGAAGGCAAAGTTAGAAAAGGAGTCTGAAATGAGTGATTTGAGAGAGCTTCACTATTGTTTAGGAGTGGAGTTTGTAAGAGATTGTGCTAAGAAGACCATTACAATGAGCCAAAGCAAGTATATTGAAGAAGTATTGAAATGATTCAACATGGAGGAGTGTAAGCCTATTGGAACACCATTGGAGGCAAACTTGAAGTTGATGAAGCTCACGGATGAAGAGTTTGCTGAAGTTGAAGGTCAAATGCAAGGTGTTCCATATAAGGCGGCAATGGCCTCACTTATGTAAGCAATGGTTGGCACAAGGGTGGATCTTGCATATGCGGTGAGTATTGTGAGTCAACACATGTCAAGGTTTGGACCAATCCATTGGACAACCATCAAAAAGATCATGAGGTACTTAAAAGGCACTTTGAACTTCAAATTATGCCTTGGGGGTGATAATATTAGTTTGCATGGTTATTGTAATGCGGATTGGGCTGTAGATGCAAATGATAGAAGGTCAACAAGAGGGTATGTATTCTTTGTTGGAGTGGGAGCAATTTCATGGAATTGCAAGAGACAACCAACAATTGCAAGGTCAACAATGGAGGCAGAATATATGGCAGCAAGCCATGGTACAATGGAGGCAATATGGTTAAGACAACTTTTGGAGGACATTGGAGATGTACAAATAGAAGCAACTCCAATGGAGTGTGACAATCAAGGATGTTTTACATTTGTAAAGAATCCAAAGCATCATTCAAAGACCAAGTACATTGACATTCAACATCACTTTATAAGAGAGAAGATTGAAATGGGAGTGATTGATGTGAAGTATTGTGTAACGGAGGACATGCTTGTTGATTTGTTGACAAAAATATTAGTAAAGAATAGACACCACATGTTGACAAAGGCATTAGGCTTAAAAGGTATTTGATCAATAGCAAAGTAGGAGTACTAAAGTAAAAGTAGAAAATATTACCTTCTATAGGATATTACCTTAGGTAAGTTACTAGTGGTCAAAGGTTTGACTCTTGGTATATGGTAAGGACATCCCATGGATATAAGACAAAGTCATGGATCAAGAGTCAAAGTCAAAAGGATAAAGTATTAATAAGGGAATATCCAAAGACTAAGTATGAGTCATTAGTATGTGTCATAGGATACCCTCGAAGTTCGTGAGATGCCAAAGGATCCTAAGAGCATGTGTGTAAGATGTAAGAGTAATTAGTATTAGACATAGGATACTCTTGGGACTCGTGAGATGCCAAAAGGATCTTAGGGCCATGTGTGTAAAAGTCAAAGAGTGGATGTTGTCTTTTAGGGCAGCAACTACCACCTATAAGTAATGGATGTTGGAAGTGAGAGATATCTTACTCCATACTCTCTTTGTGAGCAACTTTGCTGATGATAAGTGTTGTGTCTTCTAAGTACTTGTTTTCTTAATAGATAGTGCCATCAAAAATTTTGCAATTGCCACCTCAATCTGCCATCCACAACATTTATCAATGTTAAATAAAAAAATATTTTTTTGAAAAAAAATATTATATTTAATAAATAATAATTTTGGTATATTTTAAAAAATAAGAAGATCTCTTTTTTATTCAAAATTTTGGTAATAGTATAAAAAAATATATTCTTATAAAATTCTGAACTATTTTTTTAAAAAATAAAATTCCTTCTATATGATTAAATTTCCTTTTATATATTAAATTTTATATTGAAAAATAAATTTCCTTCTATATGATTAATTATATATATATATATATATATATATATATAGATGTGTGTGTTTGTAAATAAACAGATTCAAAATACTAATAGAATTTCTTATTAGAATTAAAAAAATATTAAGTAATATGTTGAGTAGCAATGGCAATTGCAAATACTGTGATGTCACTAACAAAACCATATATATATATATATATATATACTCCTATTACACATTTTATATTATTTGAAATATGTGCACAATCATTGATTTGCAATACTATTTTTTCAACATATAGTTACATGTTTTATTGGCTGGAGTTTTTGTAACAGGACCAAAAAAGATTATCCTTATAAGTTATGGTCCAAGTGGTACTTACAAGCATAAAGACAACATACTTTTGACGAATAGTTTTTTTGCGGCTATATTTTCAATCTTCACATATAGTGAAAGATCCTCAATCAAAACCCTCAAAACACACACACGCATACACAATTTTGAAATGAATCAAATCATAACAATCAAATTACAACAATCCATGCTACACAAGCAACAGGGCTAGCATGGCTGCAATCAACAAACAATATATCTACCCACAATACTACTATGATTCACTAGCTAAAAAGAAACTGTTTTCTTCTTCCATTGAGCTCAAAACCAAAGACATTCTAATCCAACACTAGTGTAAACAATAGGATGCATTGGAAAGAGAAAACGATGAATATTTCAATGAAAGCTCCAAAGTCACGGTCATTCCAATGAACATTTGACAACCCCAAAAATAAAATTCAATTTTTTTTATCCAAAGAAGATTGTGCCAAATACATTTAAATTACAACTTCCAAAGTCTAAAACCAAGAATTCAATGTGACTCAAGTATGGGCCTCATTCCATAGAATCAATAAATTATTTCAAAAACAATCCGTATGCTAGTAAAAAAAATCTTACAATCTCTGTTAAAAATGCAAGTGAAAGCTACTGAAATATTCTCCGAGCTTAGGTATAAGAACTCTTGTCCGAAGGATGCGAAACCAGAGACGTCGTGTCCGAATGGAATGACAGGAAGAAGTTGATGGATGGAACAGCATCGACATGGAGTCTGAAGCTTGAGACTGAGTTTGCACAATCGTGCGGATAGGCGTTGCATCGAAGAAACCAACGATGGGAAGCATCAACATGTGCGTGCGATGACCATGATCATGTCTAGCACTAGCGATGGAGAGAAATAGTGAGTATGAGTGGGTGAATAGACAAGGTTCAGATTCCTGGTGCTCGCGTCGTGTCGTGCCCCGCACAATGCAGCCATCCTTTCGCTGGTGCTGTTCATTTGATCAGTGCGAGTGGGGGGGGGGGGGGTGAAACAATGGGGTGTAGCTATTGCGAGGTTGATAAAGAGACATCTAGCGATACCAAAGTAGGGTGGTTGAGGAGTGCCACCCAGTAAGTCTGTGCCGCCGAGGAGGATTGATCAAAATTCTTATCGATCGGGTCGACATGGTCAAAGTTGCGCCCCAGAGTTGGCTTGCTCCGCGTCGAACCTCGCCATCAGACCGTCCATGGCAACATCGAACGCATCCCGGGATGTGTACTCACCCACCGGCTTCGGGTGCCTGTACAATAGCCGCGGAATCAGATCGACTATACACTTTTGCTTTCTAGCGATTTCTGATGGTGGAATTTTGCTCAGGTGCTCCATGATATCGAATGTGCGGTTGCAAACTTCTTCCTCGGGCACAAGCACGGAGTAGTCGTTGTGGTCCGCAGGAAGATGCATCAAGTACTGATTCGGAGCTTGGTGCTTGTTGAAGATAACGGGGATGCAGCCCGTTTCCAGGCTGTCGAAGACGCCCTTCCGGGTGGAGCTGTCGCCGGGAGGTTGCAGGCAGAAGACGGATTCCAGACCCATTTTGAGAATGATCTGGGGCCTCTCCACGCACCGTTCTATGTTGCAGAAAATGGTGCGGCAGCTGATGGAGTTGGTGCATTGATCAAAAACTTCATCACGGATGACGCCGGTCAGTTTCTTGGTGCGGGTGGAGCCTGCTAAAGAGACCAACTGGCGCCGATCGAAGGTTCGGACGGTGTGTTGCCATGCGCGGAGGTCGGATTCGGAGGATGGGTGGAATGCGGTGGGATACGGGATTCCCAGCATGCTGTCCTCCCACAAGGAGCGCTCGATCAGAAGCTTGGTGACGTTCGTAAGTTCGGGCTGCGTGAGGAGAGAGCTACCCCAGCTTGCATCCTTGCCAATCTTGCGGACGAAGTCCCACACGATGCGGCCCAGGACGAGGACATGGCGTTTGCCGTGGTGTCGCTGCCATGGCTTCTGGGATCGCAACCACTTGACGAAAAGTTCATTCAGGCGGTCTCGCACGGCAAGGTCGCTGTTGTAGAGGTTTTGGGCCAAGTCGAGGCCGTGGTAGAAGGGGAGGTAGAACAACGAAGCTTCTTCGGAGTTTTTGGTCAGACATGGGTGGACTTTAAGTCGTTCGTGGAATACAATCTCAAGGGTGAATTGGTCTGTGCGGAACCACGCATCGGGGGGTTGGAGAATGCTTGCCATTGGGTCTGACGCTGGGACCTGCAATGGAACTCCAAATCCTTGATTGGATATGTCCTCGCACATGTTTGGCCACGCTTCCCAGTTTGAACATTGCTCCACAACCAATCGATTGAATTCCTTGGCTAAATTGTAGATATAAATGAGCCGGCCATCACACTTGTCTAGCGTGTCAGATTTCGGGGTTGTATCCACAATATCAGAGACCACCTCCGAGGTTGCTGCTGAAATGACTGGTTTCTCCAGTAACTCGGCGTCGGTCGAAGCAGAGCTCGAATTCACCTGCTGACTGCCTTCAATATCTGTCGGAACGGGACTAAATCTAAGGCTGTTCTTGTCACTGGGTTCAGTGACTTTCGAAATTGGCATGGCGTTCTCAACGGCCGAGATCCATTCATTCCGAGCCGTCATGTACAAGAAAATGATCGAAAGAGTAAATATTCCAGAAATTACCCACCGAGCGGACGAAGGCTTTGGCTTGGAATGGCGGAGCCCGCCCTTCGGCACTCGTATATGCCACTGCGACATTTGGATTGCACCTTGCAATCCAATCGTAGCCTCAAACTGGTGAAACTTGCACTCACAAATTCCCACCAGAAAGAAAACCTTCCCGGATCAATTCATCCCCCCAAACAATTCTGAACTTCCCCCAGCACAAGACCACCGAGTCGTGACCTCAATGTGATACACCTCTAAACAGTGTTGAAAAGGACGACCTCTTGTTCTATATCCGAAATGACTTCTAAATCGGATACCTGCACATGACCAGATCTAATAAATTATTTAAGAAATTAAAAATAGATGCAATTTTCTCAAGGAATTTACAGGACAGATTGACTCTACAAATCACGTTCTAATGAAATTTGACAACTTTCAACCGAATCTACCCGCCAAAATCTAAAACATGTGATATCAACGTACAGTGTCTGAAGCCTCATCGACTACAATGGCTAATTCAGGTCAAATTTCAAAACAGAGAAAGGTCGCCAAAATGAAGTATAGTACATAGAACTACCATTTAATACATAATGCAATTGCAGCACATGGCCGAAACTTGGTATCGTATCGGCTGCCTAGTGCTACGAGACGGGTTTGAAGCTAGTAGACAGAGTAAATGATGAATCTACACTAAAAATCTATGATGCAGTTGCACAGGCCCGGGATCGCTCCAAGACAATGTTAACCACGACTTTCGAATACGAGGAGTGAATGCACTCGAGCAGGATTTTAAAGACAGATTTTGAAGCTGCAATTAAGACTTGGGCAACTTCTGCAAAGATCTGAACAAGAGCACTCGAATGGCGAGGCACATCCTAGCAAGAAGCCTACGTTCGAAACCTATTGGATCCTTTCCTCTTCTGAGGCACTAGAACTGTACTTCATTTGTAAGCTCACACAAGTACAAGTGTCAGTTCTACTCCGAGTGAACATTAGGAAAAAGATTAAGCACCGTTCTAGTCGTCCAACACACCAAGCTGACTAAGGAAGCACTGAGGGTCAACTGGTACCTGATCCGTTATTTATAGTTCTCCTTCACTAAACCTCCTCAGATGATCAAATACCAAAACAGCAGCGGTTCAACTAGTGCTGGCAAAACAACTCCGCCTCCACTTTGTTCGAATTACATGCTGAACAATCACCGGCGGACACAAACCAGTACCTACAGGACTGCACCTAAAAGGATATAGGCCCACACAGTTGAACAACACCACGCGACTCACAAATAAACCTAAACCCAGCCAAAGTCCGAAGTCTCCAGGGTCTGGAGAAGAAGAAGGGTGACTGCACATGAAGTTAATCACAAACGACTAGATGGAAGTGCGATCACAGATCCGTCGAACAAGCTGCACCCTGCGATTGATCCGAAACATGACGGAGAACGCCGAATGCCCCCGACCTCTAATTGACAGCCTAATAATTCACAAGAAGGGCTTTCCGATCGTCTTGAGGTGGTAGCAGGCCGAAGCTTTTCGTACTATGTACAGCTGACACGTTAGGGTTTCACAAGCAGCAAGCAATGTGCTTTTCGACAATCGCCAATAATAAAAAGTTAATATTACAATGATCACGCATGCATCACCACGTCCATATACAACCTGGCTGCATATCCCCGACGATGGCGGATGCATGGGAACCCTCACTATGGTGGAAAAACCCTGATTTCAAAAAACGAAGAAAAACAGGATTAAGAGTGGAAACCCGGCAGAAATCAGGTGGAAACCTGGTGGAAGCCGAGTGCAAACCGACCTGGGGTAACCCGCCGAGAACAGCGCCGGAATGACGACCCCAAAACTCTCATTTCCATGAAAAACGTACGGCGATTCTACGTTAAAAAAAAAGGCAAAACATCTAACTGCAGAGCTTCTCCGTTACAAAGCGCGCACTTTTCTGGGGCTCTTGCATGAGCAGTAATGACAGCAGCACTGCATCTATCGAAAAAATAATAAATAAATTGAATATCCTAGGAATTTACCCTCTGAAATGCAGTTGAGTGATTGATAAATTCTTTAGAGTTATAATTATTGATTCAGTCGCAGTTAAACCTCCCTCATGTCTATTCGTGTCCATATTATTAGAAGATGCAACCGTCCGAAACAAAATCGCCTCCACACATCTAAATCACGCTGGCACGACGGCTAACAGCCGTAGTCAGTGAGGTTCTGCACCTGTTTTCGGATCTTTGTTCCAGGATTGCACCAGGCAGCTGTGGCTTTGTACCCACTTTCGCATTCTGCTTGTCCTCAAGGTTGGCCATGGGGACCTCGTTGGGAGAATGATACTCGGCAAGGAAACAAACAAACAAACTAATCAACAATCCAAGCAACAATTAAGCAAAACAGTGCAGCTCCCTTGACTGGTTGTTGACTGATGAGTTTGGACTTGGGGGTCATCGCCAAACGGATGGAAACTCAGAAAAAACAGAGGAATTGATGTGTGGGTTTGTTTCATTATGTTGAGTTTAAAGAGGCTTTGGACCCCAAAGCTGGGTTTTTGAAGTTGGGGTTAAACGTTTTGTGGAAGGGTCTTCACTTGGTAAAGAAGATTCATTCCTGTGGATGTCTGTACTTGGAGATGCTTACACATATATACATATATATGTAAACATGTAATTTGACACAAATTTCCAACTTTTTGTAAAGACTGCTCTTGTAGTTGAGCCTGATACAAATTCCACACAACAACATTGTTCATGATACGTAAAAAAAAATCAGTTTATCTCATTATTTATTTATTTCTTTCTTTATCTTTTTTTTCATAAATTTTTAGCTAAGTTTCATAAGTACAGAAACAACTAAGTAAGACTTCCCAACTTCAACCAATTGCAAGTTTAGAAAGTTGTGGTCTCTTGCCTTGTCTCCCAAGCCTAAAGACTTTCTTAAGTTATCTTGGCATACTTGAAAAACTTATCTTTATATTGTAATATAAAGTTACTCAAAAAACAAAAAACAAAAAACAAAACAAAACAAAACAAAAGAGAATGTTCATTATATTGTGCGTGGCTTTCTTTTGGTAAAGTTATGATTATTTGTCAAATAATAATAAAGAATAAAGACTTGAGAATCATAAAAATTTACATTTGTGTCATAGAATGAAGTAGGGCTTGCTACAATTGAATCCAATAAGAAGAAAATTTATGTGTTTGTAGTTGATAAAGGGGTGTTAAAAGAGTGGAATGAGTTGAAATAATGTTTTTTTGAATCATACAAGTCGTCTAATTTCTTTTCTAGTGCATTGGCTCTTCATTGACCTACCTTTTCTTTACTTTGATTTTATTTACAGATTTCTTATTTGAAAATGACTAATGATGGAAATTTTCAATTTCTTTCAAAGTCAATTTTAATAAGTAAGAAAAATTAATATATCCAAAGATATTTCTAGAAAATTAACATTTTAGTTTTTTTTGAAAGGAGATTTTATGCTTTGACTATTTCATACATGTACTTGTTGAGATCATTAAATGTAGCCGGCGCTCTCCATAATATTTACTGTAGACTACAGTAATTATCATAGCTACAGTATTTAGAGTCTAGTGGAGAAGTACTATTTATCTTCTCCTCTTTTCTCTTCTTGTATACGAGACACAACCAGATGAATAGATTTTGTGTGTGTGAAGCTCTCTCTCCTTAGAAATCCTCTTGTGTGTATGACTTATTACTACTCTTGTGTGTATATATGATTTACTATTACTCTTGTGTCTTTCTAAACATTCTCAACACGTTATCAACATGACTCTCTTCTGCACACTATCACAATTTTTTGCTCTAGTCTTTGACTCTTCAAACCTCTTGCTATCCTTGCTCAGTGAGTGCCTCATGATCTTGTTCTTCTTGCTGGCCCCTCATACATTAGCTGTTTGCTTAGAGTAATTGTTCTACTCTCTGCCTTACTTGCTTAGAATACTTGATCGAGTCCAATTCCACCTCAGCTTGCTCCTTGCGCCCCGTGCTTGCCGTCGAACACCCCTAAATAGCTGCCAAATAGCCGTCAAATCTGCCACTGCCACCTTGTCGCTATTGACGCTGCCGCCTATCGCCGTCGTCGCCCTAATGCCGGTACCGGTGCTGGTATTGCCGCCACTCGTCGCTGCTGTCTGCAACTGCCGCTGCCACTGCCGTCGCCCGTCGTTGCTTGCCGCCCCCCATCGCTGTTGTCGGCTATTGCCACCCTGCCGCCCTACCGCTGCCTGCTGCCGCCATCTTATTATTATTCTGTTGTCTTAATCTATAACTCTTTCTTTTAAAAAAATAAAGTAAAAAATAAATTAAATTATTTATTTTTATTTTTTCAAGTTCAAGTTTATCATTTTATTTGACTTTATATTTTAAGGTACGTTTTACTCAACTTTTCTACTTGATCTTGTATTTTCTTTACAGATTTATTTATAATGAGTGCTTCAACATCTTCAACTGCTTCTACTATGGTTTCAACTATTACGAGTGCATCCCAACATTTTCAAGCTCTTTTATTTCCACCATTGACTGTGGATGGAAACAATTATCTATTATGGACAAAAATGGCAAAAGTAAATTTATTTGCAGAACAACTCTCGGATGCCATTATGTTTGAAGAATCTCCTACAACAAGTATTTCTATATCTCCTGCTATTCGTTGGAAAGTACTTCTTCTCATTCGTCGTCATCTTGTACCTGCATTACAACATCAATATTTGAAAATAGAAGATCCTGCAAAACTTTGGAAGAATCTTAAATCTAGGTTTGATCATCAAAAGACCATTTTTCTTCCACATGCACGTCATAATTGGACACATTTACGTGTCTTAGATTTTCCAAATTTAAAAGCTTTCAATAGTGAAATATATAGTATTGTCTCACAATTACGATTATGTGGACAAAGTATTTCTAAAGAAGAAATGATTGAAAAAACTCTCTCTACATTTCTTCTTGTATCTGCTATACTTGCACAACAATACAGGAACATGAAATTTATGAGTCATTCTGATCTCATGTCCTATCTACTTCTTGCGGAGAAGCAAAATGAGCTACTCTTGCGTAATGCGGAAGCTTGTCCTATTAGAACTACAGTTCCAGAATCTCATGCACTTAATATTTCAAAGTCTAAGAAGACATTATATAAACATGGGAAACATACTCATAAGTATCAGGGTAATCATAGTCAAGACCATTTCTACCTATATGGAAAGAAAAAATGTTCTATTATTAATTATAATAGAAAACAAAAATCAGAGATGTGTTCTTGCCATAAGTGTGGAATGATTGGACATTTAGTACATGCGTGCCGTACTTCAGAATATTTTATTAAAATATTCCAAGAAAATAAGAAATTATGAGTTGAGGCTCATAAAGTTCATACCATGGATGCGTCCATGGATTCAATTGATGTTGATGACTTAGAGGCTTATATGAATGATAGAACCTCTAATAATCAATCAAATGATGTGCTCATTGATTCTACAACAACTCATACTATCTTGCGAGATAGACGATTTTTTATTGAAAAATCTTCAATTTGGTAAACTAAAAATATGATGACCATGGCTGGAGTAAATGCGTTTTGTTTCCAAGAGGGCACAACGATGGTAAAATTACCTGCAGGTTCCATCATAAAATGTAAACATGCGATGTTTGCACCCTCAGCACCTCAAAGTCTGATCAGCTACCGAGATGTGCGTATTAATGGTTATCACCTCTCGATCGCCACTTTAAATAGAAAAGAGGTTTTGGTTCTTATGAAGAACCATAAAGTTGTTGAAAAAGCTTTTGATATAGAAAATGGTTTATACCGAATTGTCATTCGGCCTCCCATTATATTTAATTTTGCATCATCTATCTCAGTGAGTCGTGTTTCTCTCTGGCATGGACAATTGGGACATCTAGGATCCACATTATTTAGAAAGATCATTCCATGTATAAGTGGGACAATTTAAAGCCTGCAGATGTAGACTCAATGGAATTATGTCATGCATGCGTGCAAGGTAAAATGATTACTCGGCCTTTAATTTGAAAACTTCCATAAGAATTATCACCAATGCTTGAAAGATTGTATGGTGATATTTGTAGTCCTATTAATCCAATATCATGACCATTTCGTTATTTTTTGGTCCTTGTTGATGCATCAAGTAAACAATCATATGTTTCATTATTATCAACTCAAAACATGGTGTTTGCCAATCTTATATCTATGCTTATTGATTTTTCGGCACATTTTCTTGATTATCCTATAAAAAACATTGCGTATGAATAATGCAAAAGAATTTGCATCAAAGTTTTTTGAAGACTATTGTACTACAACAGGAATCGAGTTGACATATTGTGTTCCATATGAACATGCTCAAAATGGATTTGCAAAGTCATTTATAAAGCGTATATAATTCATTATCCGGCCACTCCTCCTTCATGCAAATCTACTTGCATATATGTGAGGTCATGCAGTTTTACATGCTGCAGCATTAATACGCCTCCGCCCTTCTTCTCTTGAAATTGTTTCACCACATGAGCTCATTTTAGGTTGTATTTCACTTGTATCTCACTTACGAGTATTTGGTTGCCGTGCTTGGATTCCAGTACCAAAACCTCAATGGCGTACCATTGGAACTCATCGACAAGAAGGCATATATGTTGGTTTTGATTCATCAAGAATTATTCATATTGTTGATCCATCAA